GAGATTAGAGCTTACAACCTCGGATTGAGAAAGTCTTAATGGTGGTTCAAATAACCTTGTCCTCTTTTAAAAAATGGTGCATTGTAGAACATTAATTTAATTTGGATTTGAAGTGACTTCGTTTTTGATTTGGCATTGATTAAAGAATATAGGAGTATAACCTATGTTTAGGGAAGCCAAAGGGAACTGATTGGTTTGGATTGATATGATGTCAATTATGATTGTGTTTGCGCATAGGTAGGTTGCCCTTACGCATGGGCCAATAGCCAAGCATGCATAGAAGAGTGTCAAATGCACAGTGGAAAATTAGTGAATTAGTGTAAGCAAATAGAGAAGTATGCAATGTGATTAATTGAGTGAACATGAGCAATTAAACTAATGCACAATGACATATTCGCAAGTTAACTATAGTGAATAACCCGTTATCATGGCTGAAGTGGCTCAGTTCACACGTACGAGTAACTAAACACAGAGATGATTTAGAGTTTGTTTAAGGTAGCTGCAGCATATCAATAATCTGTTGATAAGTAGCTGATCCAGATAAATTACTAATCAGCAGCTGATCCAGATAAGTTGGTTGTCTGTTTGGTTTGTGTGTTTGGAAAACAACTAATTTGCAGTTGTTTCTGGATAAATGATCATCATGCCCCTATTCAGTAATGTTATTTACAACAGAACTGTCATAGCTATAAATTTTGAATTTTAAAAGCAAAAAACAACTTCACAACAGTACAAAAAATTGACATATATTTGACCCTAAATTGACTAAAATCAACCCCCAACAACCCAATTCGACCCATGTACCCAATTTGTCTCCCCTAATGAAAAACAAGACCCCAAGCTCCAATTTGTATGCCACAAAAAGAGACGTGAACTTTTCATCAAACATATAGAATCATAAATAGTGATTCTCCATTTTGTTTACTGTGTGTATGAGTGTGTTTTTTTCTTTTAGCATTCAAGATACCAACCATCAAAATTTATGGTGCATTGGCATTTAAATAGTTGTGATCATGTAAACAAAACAAACACTTAGCACGTCTTGTTAAAAAAGCATGAATCCAAAATGTCTAAACAAAAATGTTAAAAACCAAAATGTCAACAAAACAAACAATTGCATCATCAAGCAACCATGGAAATGAACATAGCAATAAGCACGTGATAAAGAAAAGGTTGGTGAAATTTGATTACCTTACCCCGCACATTTCTCTTCTCTTTTGCCTCCCGGGATGGTTGTTGGTCACTAAGATCTGTTGCATATTGTTTAATAGAGCTGAACTATGTGGAATGACTTCACTCAAAGTAAACCCTAACCTTCCATCGTCCATAGGGAAGAACTGTTGCGCTCTCGAGAAATTGGGTTTCTTGACATCAGGAGAAGAAAAGCCCGGGATGCCTAGGAGGGCGAGGGAAAACTCGTAGGCTAGGAATGAGCCAACAAGCCATGAGGAAAGAAAATACAAGAACAAATACAGCGATGACAGGGTCCTGATAAGGAGTAAGAGCTTCGCGGGGAAGAAGAATGTGTTAGGAAGAGGATGACGTTGCGTAAGACGTCTTCTGAAGAAGTTGGAGAAGGAAGGAGTCGTCGAGGGCTGGTGGATTGTAGCTCCCGAAGGAGGAACTAAAGGTGGAGTGACGCTTAACGACACTAGGCGACTGCTCTTCAAAGGAGTGCCTCCTCCATGCATCTGCCATGCTTCCGCGAGAGAGGGTGGGGAGTAAAGTTTTCTCTCCAAACGCGGGTCGCGGGGTCGAACCTGGGACTGGTGTTTAACAAAAAAGGATTCCAGCTTGTCGCGAAACGCAGCCCATACAGGGGAAACAAGCACATTTGGCGGCATTTTGAAAACACCCTGTAGCAAATAAGTTGTGCCAAACGGACCTCAGTGAATTAGCATACAGGTAAGCAACCAATTTGGTGCAAGGGAGTGGTTGGATTTTCATGAGCAAGAATGTTGATAGTTACAAATATACGAGGGTCTACACATGAGGGCATTGACAAATGAAGAGCGCATCAGTTATGCACGCATGTGAACTAGCAAATTGAAGAACGCAAATGCTAGTTCATTGGGATTTGTTGAATGCACATGTGAGTATATCAAGTAGGCCAAAGCAAGGGTGAGTAGACTAGTAATTTGACAAATACACTGGTGAGAATATTGATGAGTTGGTGAGTGCACCAGTGAGTTCACAAATGCATTGACGAGTAATAAATTTTCATTCAATAGTGAAGTTTTCATCTTGGTAGGAGAGGCAAACCTTTTCCATTTAAGTCAATACACACTTCTTATGTTAAGCATATCTACAAAAGTAGCCCGATGACAATGACCAACGACCCTCACATTCTGATGGCATTGTTGTGACGCCCAAGTTTTCAATACTGGGCCATAAATTACAGCCCATTGTTTACACTTTAATTATAATTTATGTTATTATTATTCATTTTAATGATATTCTTTAAATTATATAGATGTGTGTGTGTTACTCTGAAAATTTTTGTTGCTCTTGCAAGGTAGTTTTTATCCTTTCACAAATACTAGAGCAATGAGGAGATGAGGCAATCCTTTGTTAAAATGGTTACAAAAATTAAGAAAAATGTAATTCAACAGGAAAAAATAAATCTTCAATACAAATAATTGTCTTAAAAGAGTAATAAAAAATTTCCTACTGTTTCACACTGGCTTCAATACTTCTATTAATAGTCCACAACAATCCCTAGTTAAATTGTTCAAAAGGTATTATGAAAAGACTTTCACCAATGCAGAAATATAAATAAATAAATAAAATCATTAGAATAAATACATATTGCCGAAATTAAAGGAATCAAACTCTTCTACATATTTCCAGAGCGTTTGCTGATAAAAAATATCTTCAAAATCATCTGCAAAATGGCTCATAGTAATGATTGACAAGGGTGGTCTACAATGCATGAGGTTTTTTAAAATGCTACAATGTGACTTGTAAAGAGGCTAAGGTATATAATCTTATCCCAACATGTATTTTCAAAAATTTTAACCCAATCTGATGTGATAAGGTTCCTTTTGCTTCAATGCATAAAGCAAAGTGGTTTAGTGTGCCTTTGATTTCATAAAAGAATTAGAGGCAGCCTCATGCATCTAACTCCTCTAAGAACAATGCATGCCACCTATTTTGAGTTTATCCAGCTTCATAAACTTCTAAATGGACTTGATTTTTCTCAGAAAAATTCACTCTCTCCATGCAGAAGAAATTATTGTTATTCAAATTGCTGATAATTCTACTTCATAAGTACACAAAATTAACTAAAGAGGACTATTATTAAATTCAGAAAGTTTAACAATTGTATTATTTATTCTCATCTAGTCATCTTTTTACTAGCCTTCAGGTTGTCGACATATTTACAAAGATCATGACAAAATGATTCATCAATTCTTTCTAGGCAAACTAATGCTTCTTGAATAACTAACAATTGAAATTAGTTGGATAAACACATCATGCTAAAATTAGCCATAAATACTTCATGATTATTGTGCTATTGTTGTACAATTGCCGATGTAGGGACTGAATAATTAAGTAGTGTAGTTGTAGGTATTTGTATTTTTAGAATACAATCATAATGTATCATGCAAAGTGGCTTCCTCAAGCTAGAGAGAACAGACAATCACTGAGCAACTACTCAAGTCTATAAGAACTAATGAGGAGAAGCAATGCTCATATCCTAATTATTGAGGCATATATTTAATCAATCCATGAAATTCAAACCAGGATTATGGTTTGAGTCGAAGAAAAATGCAGAGTAGGACAAAGCAAGGAAACTTTGTTGCAAGCTTGTGCTTTGCAAGTAATGTGTACATTGCTTTGCTTCGCTCCTAAAGTGAGCTTTAAAGTACACTTTAATAACACTTATCCCAATTGTGTTGAGAGATTGTTTTCATGCTCAAAAGATAGCTAGCGTATATAAACTTCCATAAAAAACGAATTTTTAGAAAATTATCTAATTAACACCTACTGACAAATTGATTCCAAGAACCGAGATAAATACTTACCATGAAAAAGAACTAACAGCCAATATCAAGCATGCCAAAGAGTTCCAAAGTAGTAGACTATAATACTTAAAAAATATATCTCAAACTCTCTTAAGACATTTACTCAATTCAAGAAATAAAATATCCAAAAAAACTAGGTTATACATAATATACATTTTTCCAAGATGCACCAGCGAGTCGAGCTTTGTTTGTCACATATGGAATAAATATTCTACATTCCAAATTTGACATATAAAGAGACAGAACGAAACTTCAAAAATCAAGGACTGTGTAGCAAATTAAAGATTGTATCACTTAGCTAAAGAAAATTCAAGCATGCACAAAAAAGTAGAGCGGGCTTTTCACAATAATAGTGCATGGCCACATAGGATGAATGGGAGAGGTCAATAGGAACTCGTTGCTCAGAAAGGAAAAAAATAATGAAATAAGCTAGAGTTCCAATTAATAAACATGTAAATATAAACTCTAACAAGTCATAAGACATTTACTCAATTCATAAAATAACATATAAAAAACAAAAACAAAAATCTATAAATAATTTAAAACTTTCAATATGCACCAGATGCATGGTCTATTACTAAGGGACTAAATATTCAACAACTTAAATTTAACGTAAAACTAGGAGATCAATATAAAAATAAATTAAAAAAAATCAAAGATTGATCATATGCATTGCATAGAAAATTTGAGAATGTGTCTATCAGACGGCTGAAGAAAACTCAAGCATGCAAAGAATAATGTACAGCAGGGTTCCTCAAAGGAAAAATGCGTGGCAGTTCAAAAACAATGGGACGGGCTAATAGCAGTTCACTGCTCATAATTCAATATAACACCAAGTTTCAATTAACTAAAATGTAAGAAAGAAACTCTGCTATTAACAGACATTGACAAAATTAAAATCTAAGAACAGGCAGGGCTCTAAATAAAAAAATTAAGTGAACCTGCGTTACAAAAAAAAAAACTAACTCTTACCTCCATCTTCAGCTATGTCTGAAGTCCATAAAGTGAGGTTATCCCTCAAAAGTTGCATAATCAATGTGCTATCTTTATATGACTCTTCACTCAATGTGTCAAGCTCAGAAATAGCTTCATCAAAAGCTTGTTTGGCTAGATGGCAAGCCCTACATGTGTGTTAAAATTTATTCAGATAGGAACTCCTGGTCAAGTTGACAAAAGCCAAACACAACGATTCACCAACCTTTCGGGAGAGTTCATTATTTCATAATAAAAGACAGAGAAGTTCAATGCCAACCCCAATCTAATTGGGTGTGTAGGAGAAAGATCTGCCTCAGCAGCACTGGAAGCTGCCTGCCAAAAGGTGGAGAGCACATTAAGACAAAATCTGAACAAGAAAGTATAGTACATTATATTTTAAGAGTAGAGTGTCAAAATAGTCCCCGACTATTTACATTGGTCCGCTTTAGTCTCAAAGTTTTTAGAAGTGCCAAAAAAGTCCCCTACTATTTCAAAATTGAGCTCTAATAGTCCTTGGGGACTATTTCAGACCCAATTTAAAGAGTCTGGGAACGATATTGGCGTTGTATAAACTTTGGGGCTAAAACAACCCCATGTAAATAGAGGGGACTATTTTGGCACTTGATATATTAATAGATTGAAAATATCTGTCGCATGCATCAAATCACAATATTGAATACAAATCTAAACAAAAAAGGTAATATTCTACATCCAAACATACTTTTCAAAAACACAATAAATTCTAAGTCTGTGCACTTAGTGCAAGTGAATAAATACAAGTGACTTTTGAACAAATCATTAACATTTCACAAGCAGAGAATCTTAATCATCAATTTTAAACAGAGAAACGCATTATTTAATTATTCTAAATAATGATAAGCATGTATAATGCAAAAATATATTGGTTACCATCAACTAAATTCCTATTTAACTTCTTCATGAATTTCTATATTATCTACTGCTAAAAGAGTTTACATTATTCATTATAAAGAAATTTATTAATTCATATCAATAAAAATGTATATAGCTTTATAATTTCATTTATTATTTATTTTTTCAATTCCAAAATTTTATAAATGAACATAATAAATTCTTTAAGCAAATAGAATCTTTTAGGATTATTATTTTTATTATAGTTATATATGCATACATGCATGCATGTATGTATATAATGCTCATATAAAAAAAAATGTTGATTTTTTAAAGATCATTAAAATTTACCATTATTTATTTTGCATCAATATTTTTATAAAAGAGCAAAATTAATTCTTCTACCGAAAGTAATTTTTTAATATTTTCGAGACAATGTAAATATTAAGAATTAAAATTTTATTTATTTATTTATTTATTTATTATTATTATTATTATTATTATTATTATTTATATATATATAGGGATTTTTACATATATGCACCCAAAACTTCTCTATTTTCAGATCTCACACACAATTCTTTTTATTTACATATAAAGCACCTAAATTCTATTTAATATTTTCTTTCAGTCATCTTTTTTACTCAGAGAACCTACGCCCCATTAGAAACAAACTCTTTCCGCCGACTTCATCTCCCCTCCGCCTCGTCATCAGCCTCTCCATCGCAAAAACATTTCCCCTCTGCTCAAAGCCAAACTCTTACTCCACTTGAAGCATTCTTTTTAGATTTTATCTAATTCTCTGTTTTCACTTCAACATAATTTTTATCACTAAACAAGGTGTCAAGTAAAAAGAAGAACAATGGACAACTTATTTTCTTAGGAAAAAAAGTATGACAAATTAAAAATTTTTAAGTTGGTATATCGATATTAACCATCCATGAGAGATAAGAGAACATACTCTCGTCTTTGAGAATGGACACTCAAGGTTTAAATAAAAGGGCTTTTAATTATTTTAAAAGAAGAAGAGGAGGAGGAGGAGGTAGCTAAAGACTCCCATATTTCTATTTCCAGTCCTCTCAGAGCAAAGCATGAACCTCTAAAGTTTTACATTTGTTGTTGAGGAAACGAACACACCCGGGTGAAATGAACAGCTCCTTTGACTGGATTGGAGGAAATTGACAATTTTATTGGAAATTGTGTGATTATTGTCAAAAATTGATTATTCTAAAGATACCTATTAAAAAATTCATGGAAGAGTGCTTTCGAACTTGAGCTTCCCAATAATTTTTTTCTAAGGAGTTGATGAGAATGAAACGAAGGAAACAGGAGCTTATTTTTAAGTATTAAATAGAATTTAGGTGCTTTATATGTAAATAAGAAAGGTGTGTGAGATATATAAAGAGAATTTTTTAGTGCCATGTATGTCGATTTTTAAACATCATTAAAATTTATCATTATATTTTTTTTTCATCTGATTTTACTATAAAAGAGCATAATTAATTCTTTTGCCGAAAGGAAATTTTTAAAATTTTTGAAACAATATAAATATTAAGTGCACACACACACACACAAATATATATATATGTACACACACACACACACACACATATATATATATATATTGCATACAAAAATAATATGATGAATAGTTTAAAACACCATTAATTATTAGATGGTTGGCTTAAATAAATTTTAGATGCACATAAGCCTTAGGTATTTATTTTTATACATTTATTACTTAAATACCTTTTTCATTTCACAAAACAACTTTAGAAGTCATAATCCTAAAAATTATTGGATATTATTTTAAGATGATAAATATAAAAGAAAACCACAACAAGAACAAAAAATGTTAAAACATCTCAAAAATAATATCATGAACTTCAAGCAAACTGCAATTTATACAAGCGCATTGATATTAGTCTAACTTAAGGGTCCGTAAGATTACAAAATGAACGAAAACAACCATAAATGTTGCATATATTAAGTTTTTCTCCCAAAATACTTCATGATGAGTTTAGACACCAAACTCTTGTTTTACTACACATCTAAAATGAATGTTTAGGATATGGTATGCAAAGAGTGCCTACTGTAGGAATGAATAAGATGATGCCATATCATAAGAAACCATTGTTTCTTTCGAATAATCCAGAACAAAACACAACTACCAAAACTCATAAACCAACAACATTTACATTGTCCAAAATACCAGCCCAAAAAAATAGCAATCCACACTTAAATTACTCTAAATCTTATATCTCAGCAATGCAGCAATGCACTACACTTGCCAACGTGAGAATGTGCCACTACACATGCCACGGCATAGTGCCATACTCAGTGCTTGGTCTACCTAAAAAAAATAAACAAGTCGTGTCAACGATGTTTCTCTTCCCCAAAGTGACCATGGGTATGCAAATCAAGTAAGCTCCAAATTTGACATTTTCTCCATGGGAAAATCATAGAAACAAAGATGAGTCCATTAAGAGCTACCACATGCAAGAGGATGAGGCTTTTATGGACCAACTTGTATTGTATGCTATCAACCTAACCTTTTACAAGATTTATAGGATGAGTGAAAGTAAATCTTCACCAACATCAAAGTTGACAGTTGTTTTCTGATTAAAATCGAGAATTCCTCTAGTATGCCAAAAGCAAATCATGGCTCGTGCCCTCACAAGAGAAAAATATAAAAACCTCAGCATAATCTGATTGTTGTGGATCTCTAAGTTGTTATCCATCCGAAATATTCATATGCCGACTAAGTTCATGATTATCTTTGCTTGCAACAAAATCAGTAGAATAGGAAAGCCAAACAAGAATTCATAATGTTGTCCAAATGACAGCTAAACACAAATTTCTTCATAAAGTGAAGAAGGATGCGATTTATTATCAAATATAAGCAAAATATATCTTATGCTAAATATGGTATTGTTTGTATAAAGATATAAATATAGTATGAAAAATAAAGCTACAAACTATGTGGCATGCAAAATAATAAAAGACATAATTACAGTGCGAGATGATACTTCTAGGATTTTCTAAATAATGTATGCAAACATAAGAAAATTATAGAAGCAGCCATCAGCAAACACTCCTTACCAATGTTAAATGCTAAAAAATTAAAAATTAAAATGGTAATGAAAACAAAATGTCGCGAGTAAAAACAACATATATGATTTTTAATTCTTAATAAATAAGGAGACTTGGATGTGAAATTAGAAGGTGCAAATAATTATTATTATAGAAAAGAATGCATTTTCAAAAATTGACAAAAATTGAATACTGCTGAGGTTTGCAATGGTAAAACTATCAAGTCTATCAACAAATTTAGTGAGTAAAACAAAAGCTACAACTTAAAGATTTATGTAATAGGCATTATTGCACAAGTAAGAAGTGTATAAAATAGGCATGGTACAAAAAAGGAAATGAGTATATAGAATAGCTAAGGCAAGGGTTAAGCAATGTAAAGATTTTGGTTGAGGTATATGCATTAGAAATAATGGCAATAGATTCTTGATTAAAGATGAAGATACCAAAAAAGTGATAATGTTACTCGGGGAAATTACTAAATCAGAATTTAAGAAAGATATTATTTTGTGTGACAATATCTACAAACACATGCATAAAGATAATGCTGTAGATCCATATAAGATTTTAGTCGAGATTTATATAATTATTGAACCTATTATAATAATTTGGTTAACAATTCAATATGAGATTGAAGGCTAAATAAAGGGATGTAAAATATATTGAACATAGCATTTTTTTTAACCAATATTAAAAAAGTAAAGGGAGAAAAAGCAAACTTATAAATCATACAATGAAACAATGGGAGAAATGAATAAAATAAACGGTAAAAATATTTTATGTCACTGTCAGAGAACCAACTGGATTTCATGTTCGAAAGATTCATTATGCAAATGATTTGTGTTAAAATTAACAAGCAGCGAAATATATGGAGCAAAGATATCTATGATGGCACACTGACTAATAATAGGCTTTAACTGTGAAGTGACCGAAAAGTTATTAATTATAGCACATTTACATCAACTCCATATATTTTCAAATTGGTTATTGAGATAATTATAAAATATATTCAAAGCAATGTTCTTTAGTGTGTGATTTTTGCATATTATATAATTCTAATTGGAAAAACATCCATTGTAGTAAGAAAAATAAATAAATCGATAAAGTTAATATCAAGAAGATAGAAAATATAGAATTGGCAAAACAAAGATTGAGATCACACATTATTAAGGACTTACAATTACTCCTATTACTAGACAATTATCCATGATATGTATATGTATATGTATGTGTCTGTGTATGCGTGTGTATGCGTGTGTATGCGTGTATATGTATGTATATATGTGTATATATATATATATATATA